AGAGAGAGAGAGAGAGAGAGAGAGAGAGAGAGAGAGAGAGAGAGAGAGAGAGAGAGAGAGAGAGAGAGAGAGAGAGACGTGGTCGCGCAACGGTACCGTGTCGACGACAACGGGGCAGCTTTCCGACGGCGGGCAGCGACGACGGGCAGCGGCGGCGGGCAGTGACGACGGGCATCGACCACGGGCACCTCGGCGAAGGCAGGCAGCGTTGGGAACCTCTTCGGCGGGCAGCGACGGGAACCTTTTCGGCGGGCAGCGACGGGAACCTCTTCGGCGGGCAGCGACGGGAACCTCTTCGGCGGGCAGCGACGAGACCACTTCGACGGGCAGCACGAACTCGACGTTCGAATTTGAAGGCCGCCCGAACGAATGTGCAGTTGATGGAAGAATTTGTGCGGGGGGCCAGGGAGGCTCCCAAGCGCGAAAAAACATCGAAAAAGGGCTCCCCGCCCCCCTGCGCAAAAATGCGCTGGGCCCACCCAGCGTCAAACCGGGGGACCCAACTGGCCGGGCCGCCTGGGACCCCTGCTGGACGGAGGCAGGGCCGCCGGGCGGCCCGGAGGTTAACACAGGTTTTCTCTAATAAACTGGAAAGTGGGTCCAGTTTCCCTTACGATGAAGACGCGCTCAACGCTTCCCTTCATTATGGTCAAGGGAACCTTGGTCAGTAGTTTTGATTGTTTCTTTTTTTAAGAAGGATGAAATACTGCTCAACCCCCAGTTATCCTCCACTTCTTCAAAACAGACTTTCCGGCTAGAGCTCTTTTATCAACTAGTGCTAACTCGTGAGCCTCTGCTCACTTTCGGAACTCCTCCCTTAACATTACTAGCATATAGATGGATCTTGAAAATAACGTGGGGTGACCCTCTCAGCCCTTCTACGTGGATTGCCAGACTAACATCAAAAGTAAGAAAGAAATAACCATGGCTACGATCCGGATGTCCGGACCGCCGTCCAGACGGTTTGGATTCAGTCCGGACTCCAGACGTCCGGTCTGGAAGGTCCGGATCTGCCAAATTTCGAGGGAACAAAAAAAAACAGTCCAGGACCCTTCGCCATTGAGGAGCCAAGCCCCCAAAATTGTTTTGGGGTTTTTTCAGGCCCGTTCATGCTTTTTTTGTGGGTCCGGATATGCTCTCTCTCTATAATAATTTATTAGACAACTCCATTTTTTTAATTATTAACAATTCATTACCTTTTATTAGTTTTTAAAGTCTTTTTGTAAGCTTTTTTATAGTTTTTGACTTTTAACTCAAGTTCGGTTAGGAATTCTGACATGACTCTGAGGCAAAAGTGGTTTGCATTGTTATTCTGCATAACATACTTTTTTTCAGATTTTTTTTTTTTTTTTTTTTAAATGGTCCGGACATTTCCGGACCTGTCCAGACATCTGGACCGTTCGGATCCC